CACCGTTGATTCGCAAGCGGAATCAACACCCAGTCAAACGAAACCTTCATAACCCGCTCATTTAATACCTGCCGGGAGAAGCGGCGTTGGATATAAACGTATTCAGAGCTCTACTCAAAGCCGGAATGTCTGCTTGCGGTACAACTCAGCCAAACTCATCCAGACAATATATTTCTTATAGGATCATGTCTTTGCTGGAGACGCGGCGACATATTTCCCTGGCCGTTACTGCAAATCCACCTGGTGCGTCATCCGACGCCGGGCGAAATTGAGTGTCCGCGTAGGCCGGGAAGCTTGGTGGACCCGAAAGGCCGAAGAAATGGAAGATGAAAAGGATGCTCGAAACGTCCACAAGCCGTTCCACTTGGTTCTTTCGGCTGGCCCTCGGAAACCTCTTAGCAGCGAATAAATCAGTGACCGAAATGGCCTCCAGTTATACAGCAAAGTAGAGCGTTTGGACCTTTAGACGCGGTACTTTGAACAGCAAATCGGCTGGCCACCTGCCGCCTCCAATCCAGAATCTCAGCCTTCAACAGAAAGGTAGACCGTGCATATAAAGCCACATTCTGTCTCAGAAGTGTTCGAGCGTATTTGTCTAATCAAGAATCATGCTGCTCGTTCTGACGAGCCTGCACCCGTTCTTCTCAAGGGTAGCGGTAGGCTCCCCAGTTGGTGTCTATCCAGCCTATTTGGGTTCATCCGCCCCAGAGACCTGGGGTTAATCGAAAGTGGTGAACATTTTCAGAAATGGTATTCGTAGTATTCGCAGTGACCACAGGTGTGTTAGTTTGAATCCTGTTGCGACCAGCCTTCTGTCGCAACTGATTCCCCGTCGTCTTGCGGTGGCACGAGAAATATTGACTTGTGAGGCTGCGTTTACCACACTTTCACACTCCTTCAGGTCTTATGGAAACGCCACATGTACAGACGACCCACAATCCTGATATTCAGTGACTTCAAGGGTGCACTAGATTCTATTGATCGGTCAGTACTGTTAACTGCACTTGCCCATCAGGGTATGCCCAGGCAGTTTGGGAACGTAATCCGATTCTCATATTCACATACTTCTGGGCGGCTGGGAGTGTATGGTGGACTCTCCAAAAGCATCAACACTAAAAGTGGTGTCACAAAGGATTTCCACTCTCTCCATTCTTGTTAAAGTTCATCATTGATGGAATAATGAGGCGAACACTGGACGGTCTTCGAAACCCCGGTGTTCAACTTGCCGTGATGAGAGTCTTGTCAATTTGGAGTACGCAGATAACATCACCCCCATCTTTAAAAACGAAAGCAAAGCAAGCCTTGTTGAATTGACTGGCCACCATCATATCAGCTTTTGGCACGTATCTTGCACCTTCAAAGTGCAAAATCATGCTTCAGAACATGCGGCCTCCGAAAAAACACCATACGATTCAGGGAGAATCACGGGGAATTGTGAAAAACTTCACATACCCAGTTAGTTGCTTCATCTCTGACGGAAATTCCTCTGATGAAGTCATTGCGAAAATCTCAGAGGCTCGAATCAAGTTTGCTAATTACCGTCAAGTAACCTCAAATATCTGAATGTTCGCGTGTACCAGGCTACAGCAAAGGCTGTGTTGTGTAGATGTGGGGCGTGGCTTCTTCGGACATGTGTTGTGGAGAGTTTGCAGGTTTCCCACCGCCGGGGCGTGGATGGCTTTGGATGGCGTCAGCGTGCTAGTAACGAGGTGTTTAGAAAACGGCATTTGTTAGTGCGGCAGAAAACCTCGAATACCATCAACTGTGGTTGCTCGTTTGGATGGCGCGTGCTAGTAACGAGGTGTTTAGAAAACGGCATTTGTTAGTGCGGCAGAAAACCTCGAATACCATCAACTGTGGTTGCTCGGTCATCTGCCATCCATGTTGAAACATCGTCTATGGAGACGAGTTTTGTTATCAATGTCTTTTTCAGAATGGCGCAAACCGCATAATGCACAACCTATGGCTTAGGAGAATCGTATGAGGAGTACGAGGAGTTCGGGCGTTGTTGCTGTTCTAGGCCTTTCCCACTTGTGCTTGTCTGGGAACTTTGCAAGATATGATGGCGGATACTTGTCAGTAACGTCTGTGTTGTTAGTTTCCTTGCATGTGGTCTGGTTTAGCACTTGAAGGTGTAGGCACCCCAGAATTCCTGACATAGGCCAGCGCCGGGTCCCTCCTCACTCCTTCCTCTTTTTTTCGCTCTAGGGCTTTAAATAGAAAATATATATAATGAGACGCGCCTTGTTGTAGTGTGGCAGTGAAGTATTAGTGTCGACACTGATGTTGCCGTCTTTGGTGGTGATGATGATGAGTTGAAGAAAGTAACCTGGTGGAGTAAGGTTGAGTAAGCAGGTTAAGTAAGTAGGTTAAGCCCTGTAGGCAGGTGAAAGTGTCCGGGATGCCTGTCGGGCATCACGTTGGTAGGTAGTGGTACCGGAAGAACGAGGTCGGTTGGTACTGTACTAAAAACGTGTTGTGTAAACAAGTGGAACGTAGAACATATAATCAAGGATAGCACAGTCGGTAGAAGCAAAGGGGAGCAGTGTAGCCCCAGGGCTATCTGGTCATGTGCCAAATGGTACCCAAACTTACGGATGCGGGAATCTAGACGGTGAAACTAGGCGCCATTCATGGATGAAGGTACAGAAGATAATCAGTAAGTCTTGCAAGTATTCTCGGATCAAAGGAAAAGAAAGCTATCTAACAAAAGCGGATGTGATGAGTTTGACGTAAATTAAATATGCCTGCAGTCTGCAACGGGCAGTGTGACCAATTGACAAATGGAAATGCGCGCTTGGAGCCATTTAAACCAAAACCAAAACAAGGACCGTCGGGTAAGATGCGGCACAAAGGCGTTACAAAAATAAGGCTGACTGGGAAGCACTGTTGATCTTACAGATAGCACACTTGTCAGCCATTCGTATGGTCCGAGTTTTGTCCTTCGATGACCTCCATTTTAGCCACAGCAGGGGCTCAAAAAAGGTAGGGTTGCGACGAAATTGGGCGCGCAGACAGGCGGCGAAATCTTGACATTATGCCTGGAGGGTGGATAAACCTCAAGCTGGCACAAAAACCTGGAAAATGAGTATCACGGGGGTAAAACTGGGTTATAATAAATGAGTGCAAATCCCGCTCCTCATGACTAGTCAAAACTAGGTAAGTGCCCGCTGGATGACGTTAGGCCACAGAAGGCATCAGCCGATGTATAAGGGCGTCTGGTCCGTGTAGCTAAGTAGAAATCTGGTGGTCCTGCCCCCCATTTTAGTATCTTTAGCCCACAAATGAGTGGGCTTCAGCGAACAAAGGCAGTTGTGTTGGTTAAAAATATCAGCGCTGCAAGCAGCCGAACCACAGGACCGACAAATCTCGGCATTTTGTGTCCTCCTGGTGGTTTCAGATACCTGAAAAGCTGCTGACTAAGTTATTCCTATACACTGCTTGGCAGCTCATTGTTTGCATCTCTAGCATAAAACCCGGTGGTGCATAACCAGTAGTGGCTGGGTACTACATATCGTTTAACGTAATTTATGAATGCAGACGTCGCTGCGAGTGTTTACGGTCTAATGTCTCCATGGGGACGTCAGACTGTTTGCTTGAAAAAAGTAAACCTACTGGCTTAAGTTGAATACGATTAATGACAAAGTTCAAGTATCCTGTCAAATGGTTGGCACCCTCATAATTAAAGTTATACCCGAAGGATATTACGCCCATGCATACTGGTACGAAATAGCAGGCTATACTGGGTTTATTAATCACCATAGTTACTTTGATTAGCGCTTTCAAGATAACGGAGATGCACGCTTCCTGATACGTTCATTCGTAAAGAATCAGTATAAAACAATTCATATACCGAAGAAAGACCTCCGGAAACTTTTTCCTGTGTTATGTGAGCTATACCAAATGACATGCACCCCCATGACCAGATCGGAGTTACAAATCACCTCCATTTCAAGCTTATCGCACTTCCGGTCAAGTTGAGGAATTTTATTTTTTGGCACCTCACTCTCGATTTCGGGTGGTTGTTGATATTGAAAAACCGCTCGCCCCAGCAGATCGACCACACCAAGCGGTCACATAAAAAGCGTAAAATCCAAGAAGCCATAGTCCCTGTGGAGTCATTTTTAAGTGCCGGATGCTGAAAGCTGGTCTTTTGGACGCGCAGTACCTATAACCGTAAAACAATTTCGATTAGAATAAAACTTCTTAAGCCAGAATATAGCATAGAGTTCCATTGTACATATACTGGGCCGCACCGAAATTCGCTCACGGCAACTACTCAAACATCATGTCGGAAAGGGGAGAATAACGTCCTAAAGTACGGTGTTAGTTGTGGCATCTTCGACCCGGGTTTGATCTGGCTATAATGAAGTGAATACAGCGGTTTTCCTCTTTTAACCGACAGAATGACTAGAACGTATTGGCATTCGTTTTACCGCATCTCATCATCAGAAGCCTCCTTGGGCGCGCTGACATTGTCGCCATGGTGAGTGGTCGCGTTTTGTTCTCGTTTTCCTTGAAATGGCGTACATCAGCGAGTAAATTTCGTTTTTTTTTCAAGTTTCCGATCATTTTTTACTGTAGTCGTGAGTCCCTTCTGCCATTTATATGTTGGTCCAACCTATTCCGATGAACATGAGGGTCGTTAGGTTCTGTAGAGCTCCATGGGATACCCTCTGTTCCGTAGTGGCGTACTCAGCGAGTAAATTTCGTTTTTTTTTCAAGTTTCCTATCATTTTTTACTGTAGTCGTGAGTCCCTTCTGCCATTTATATGTTGGTCCAACCTATTCCGATGAACATGAGGGTCGTTAGGTTCTGTAGAGCTCCATGGGATACCCTCTGTTCCGTAATACCCTATTATTGACTCCGATGCCGTATGAAGGGCCAGATTGAGGAGTCTAATCTGTGTTTACACCAGATAGTGAAGGCCAGAAGCCGCGAAAATTGACGAATTCATTCGGGGCGTAGCAACGCGGGAACGTTTAATATTATGTCTGAGTCTTGCCCATCGACTTGAATTCCTCAGAAACTTCCTACGGGAGGAATATTCCTGCTTGCTGGCTGTGAGTTTCGTCAACGTGGGCTTCCTCCTAAGTACTGTTATTTCCCCATCTGTCAAACCTCTTTATTTTGGACAAAATCAATGAATGTCAAGAAAAAATTCCCAGGTTTGTTACTTGATCTTATTCTAAACATCACAACCTATTAGAATTAGGTTTCTGTGGGATCGTCCTTAATGACGAGCTTCCACTGATCGAAATAGACGTAAAGTCAATCTCGAAGGGTCTGGTCACGAATGCAGTCTTGCGCCATTGTTTTTATACATCGATGACCTGTCCCAAGGTGATGCGAATATCGCTACCATAAAACAAACTGGTTGTGACTATCCGTCATTTTGCAGCACTTCTTAGTGTGATGTGTTCGTTCGGTCTTATTCGGAGTTTACGGTCTAGGCTCGGGCGCCTTAATTTGAGGGGGACGTCAAACCCATTTGGAAGATTCAGCGGCCTTTCACCCTTCTTGACGTAGCTTAGTGACTAAGGCAGTGTGTAAGGATGGGGCTCATGTCCCCGTTCAGTGCTTGTTTGATTTATTACCTGTAATCAGGAAGGGCTGATTTCCTGAATAACTGAAGAGAATAGGTAACAGTTCCTGTTCTCAAAAATGAACCGCTGCTAATGTCACAACCACAGGATCATGTGGTTGGCGTCACTCGTTCCTCATCGTCTTAGGATGACCAGTTAGATACCCTGAACGAGCGCGATTTCGATATGGTAGGGGTTGCTCAGACCACACACTGTCAGGTACTGGAATAGCGCCATATCCGCAAATTATTCGGAGTTTTGGGATCACTGAATCTCCAAGACCCTTAACCGGTCCGTTTTCCAGAACAATTTTACTGGGTTTGAAATTCCGCGGAAGTTTGCCGGTATAATGAACTCTGTTCTCCTTTTTGCGAATACATGGGGAAACTTATAAAAGCTTGCTTACAAAAAGTGGTTTCCGACAGGGACGAGATGCCGAGCTGGATTGAAACCACGGGCCTTGAGTAAGTTCGCGACTTGACCACTGACACAGCTCGATCTCAATGTTTCTGCCGTCCATACTGACTGAAACGCAGTTTCTTAAGGATCAACCTTGCCAGGAAGGCCCACGAGGGAGCAACCCGAAGAACAGCGTATCTCCGAGAAATATCACTACCAGGAGGTCTAAAGGTGAAGTCATACTGTCCTCTGCAATAGAAGTAAAGGGCCATTAGGGAGCTCCCTTCAAGCAATCAGCATATCGATATATACGGAAACTGCGATGCTGCCTCCCCCTAAGGAAGGATGGGTTTGAAAAGACCGATCCTAGGAACCGCACACTCCGACGGGTCGACCGTGACTACTGGCGCGTTACTAAGTACACTCAAAATACTTTTAAAACCAAATAGTCTGATGATGATCAATGGGTATTTGTTGTGTGCAGCTTCATTGGAAGCCAGGTAGTTATGCCTTATGCGGTATGCCCTCGGACTAGGCCAGCATCCTGAAGCCAAGTAGGTTGGACTGTTTGGTCCGGGAGGGGCCCCTCAGAAAAACACTGGCAACCGCTGCATCGCGTTTCAAACTTTTGGATCAGGTGTAAGAAGAAGATCCCTCGGACAAAACCCTTAATTCTCTCACTGTTTTTTAGTTAAGGGCACAGGAAAGGTACGTCACTCAAAGCATCTGCGGTCCCGAAACGGGTAGTGCCATTCGCCATCGCAATTCTTTGTCCAATACCTACCCCTACACATCTCTCACTCGAGTCTTGATTCACTTGGCTGTTGATTACCTTCGTATCTAAGATTCTGCTCCTTCAAATAGATCAAAATAAACCAATATCAGATTCAAGGGGTCTGTCCCACATCGCGGCTCCCAACTTCCGTACTTTGTCTAATTGAACAGCAGTCAGGTCTTTCACTTTCGATCGATGTATGTCTCGTCCCGAAACAAGCACACAAGACCCCGGTTTGTTCACGTTTCTCTAGCCGCTTGAGATGAGCCCAGATTCCTCGCACTTTGCTCCTCGTTTGTCTGGTAATCCTGCTCGTAGTATATGGGTTGTGGACGTGTTAGTCCCCTGCTTGAGCGCGTTTTCAGTTAACAGCCCCCTTTCCACTGTTAGGTTGACTGGTTCAGTCAGTATCGATGCATCTCGATGTGGCAAACGGCGTTTGTTTGTTCCCAGCATACGCTGCGACAGACGGCAGATCAGGTTGTGAAAGAACGGTTCTATCGAGATTTGTCTCCATTACCTCTGTCTGCAAGAAGTACATGTACGGTGATTCTGGTGGGTGATAAGAGTTCTCAGGTTTTCCGACTAAGTCCTAATGAAACCTATTTTGTGGCCGATCTAAAGCTGTCACCTCGTATTGGTGGTCGGGTTTGTGCATGAGCGCGTTGTTAACAGCCCCCTTTCCACTGTTAGGTTGACTGGTTCAGTCAGTATCGATGCATCTCGATGTGGCAAACGGCGTTTGTTTGTTCCCAGCATACGCTGCGACAGACGGCAGATCAGGTTGTGAAAGAACGGTTCTATCGAGATTTGTCTCCATTACCTCTGTCTGCAAGAAGTACATGTACGGTGATTCTGGTGGGTGATAAGAGTTCTCAGGTTTTCCGACTAAGTCCTAATGAAACCTATTTTGTGGCCGATCTAAAGCTGTCACCTCGTATTGGTGGTCGGGTTTGTGCACTGGAATGATCGTGCGGCTATACCAGCTGGAACTCAGTTCCTAATGGCTCAACCATACCAAGAAGTCCAAAGGGGAGCAGACACATCAAGAGCAGCAAGACCCCGTATTACGAGCAATCGTGCTACAATGCGGTCTGGAGGTAAATTCGTACTGACCTCTCCGACAGGAGTGTGAAGGCAGTATGGCGTTTCCCCCAGGCTACCAGCATGCCCGTATTTACGGAAGCAGCGATGCTGCCTTCCCCCGAAAAAGAGTGGGTTAGGAAAGGTCGGCCCCAAAAACCGCACACTCCGATCGCTCAACGACCGGCGCATTATTCCTTGCGGTCGAAATACTTTTAAAACCAAAAAGTCAGGTGCTGCTCAAAAGGCACCTGTTGTGCGCAGCTGCACTAGGAACGAGACAGTACTACCCTATTCCCCACGCCATCGAGCCAGGCCGCCCCCTACAACCAACTGGGCCAGACTGTTGAGTCATTGGCTCCGAAAAAGTCCCCGAAGGAAACCCTAACAACTACTGCCTCGTGGTCCAGACTCTCGAGTGACAGGCTGTTTTCAGGGTCCCCGCACAAAACCTCACTCCTCCCCCTGCCTTGTGGGTCAGACTTTTGATTCAAAGGCTCAAGGTGGGGTATCCCAACTGAACCCTGTTATTCATCGTGGGCAACCGGGAAGTATCACCTGCCCTTGCAGCTCTTCGCACACCGGCCTTCTCCCACACTCCATCCTCGGCCATCGTACAATGCAGTTCAACCAACCCACTTGTCATGCATACAAGGCCCGACATTGGTTGTGCACCTCAAGCCACTTAGGTCGATCTCAGATGTCCCACATTTCACTTTTCAGGAGAGTCAGATTCCCGAGAATTAAGCTGGGTTTCGCCCTGGTCGGGGTTACATCGATCATATCTTTACTTTGTAACGTGTTGGAATTGCTGAGCTCCTTCCGATGACTAATAGGGATGTGTCGATTGAGGTCGTAGACGAATTTGTTTTCCTGCGCATCTGTGGCACTCTCGGTGGTCTAGTCGTCCGGATTGAGAAAGCCAGAGCAGCTTTTGTGAACCTCCGTCACGTGTGCAGGACCAAGTTTACAATGTCGTGGTGCGCTCCATATTGTTGTACGGGTTAGAAACCTGGTCGCTACGTTCTGAGTACGTCAAAATCTATCAGCGTTTGACCATCAATGTCTTCGGACCATTGCGCGGATCTTTTGGGAACACCAGATCAGAAGTGCTGAAATACGTCAAATAATTTTCCGAAGAAAACTCGTCCACGATAGCTAAACTGATCACACTCCATAGGTTGCGCTGGCTTCGTGACGAACTCCGTATGCCACTTATTTGACTTTATCGAAGGGCCCTTTTCGCACGACCACACGAAGGGTGAAAACGAGTCAGAGGAGGTCAAAAAACGACTTGACAGTGAAGTGTGCAAGCCATTCCCGGCAGGTTCAGCTGCTTGATTGTTGCCGTGTCTCTGGATATCATCATCACCGACAGCATGACATCAACACAGATGCTTCACCACCTTATGTCTTTGGATAGGGAACCCCAGATGGATACATCAGTGGTTAAAGATGTTGTCGGACCTGGTCTAGTTGCGTCCTATGACGCTCATGCACCCAAGTTGTCTCTCACGATCTAATGAAATGTTCACTGATGCAAAAACTACACTACCGCCTCCCGTGCGTAGCTATCTACCTCCACCTCCCCAAATCATCAGCTTCCGAAACTGAAAACTATAATCTCTCTACCGCAGCCTCGCGATTTCTTACAGCTAATGATGGTGATTTGGGGGGGGGGGGAAGGATGCAAAATTCAGTGGAATCTAACCCAAATTCATGCTAGCAGGTAGACCAATGGATACAAAAAAATCAGCTATAGCACCCTATTGGTGTCCAACTGCCATGCCACCCGAAGGAAGCACGAGTGCTGGGATACTGTCAGGTTGCCCAATCCTAGACAGGGATTATGTGGTAAATAGGTTCGTTTGTCTGGAGAGCTGCTTAGGTCTCGATAGACTGTCGAAGTACGGAATCGCTTGCCGCATTGGGAAGGCCAGGACAGCATTTGTCAACCTCCGACATTTGTGGCACCGACGTGACATCATATAGGCCTCCAAGGGTAGAGTATACAATGCTGTGGTCCGAATTGTCGTAATGGATCATGGGGGCGAGATGGTTCAGGTGGTTAGAGCGCGAATTTACTGACCGGAAGGCCCGTGGTTCGAACCCGACCTCTGCCTCTCGACTTCCCCAGTCTGGGCTTGGGCAACCTGGCAGTATCCCAGCCCTCATGCTTCCTTCAGGTGGCGTGGCAGCTAGGCACCGGAAGGGTGCTGCAGCTGCATGATTTACTAAATGGATCATGGACGCGTCCACTGAGTGCGGAAAATCTCCAAAGTCCCTATGTTTGACCACCGGTGCCTCCAAAGCGTGGAGCAAGTCTGGTTCGTCCCCTCAATAGATCAGCGAGCGACAGTCCACAGCCTATGCTGTTTATGCTCCGGTTAAAGCGCGAAATCAGTGGATGTAAGGTTTGTGGTTGGAACCCAGCGTCTCGGCTGCTCCTGTCCTGGCTTCGGCAACCTGGCCGTAGCTGAGTGCTCTTTTTTTTCTCATGACACCGCTAATCACCGAAGAGGTCACAGCTAAACGAAACGTTTGCCTTACTGAAACCTCTTCACCCAGCCTTGTATCGGATGACTTCGATCCAGAAACAATCAGCTATGGCTTAGCAACGAAACATGAAAGCCCTTGCCAGCCAATTCGCTCGCTTTCGTAACTACTATTAGCTCGGATAAAGACCACAGCACGAACCATAGATGTGACTGTTATCAAACTTCCGCACTAGCGTTAATTAATAAGTAGTTCAGAGAGAGAACAACTTCAAGAGCTGAGAGGAGCTTAACACACTATTCACAAGGTTGCTGAAAACTCTGACAGCCCACGACCGGTGGTTCTGCCGCACTGGGATACTTTCGGTAAACAGCGAATATTTCTAACTGAAGCCCCCAAATCTTCATTGGATGCCCTCGTCACTCAGTTGTAACATTCATTTTATTATTGGATTCATCTGATCCTTTCTGATCCAGTTTTTATCAGCAATGTACTCCACATTCATTTCTTCCATTCATTTCCAACCTGGACCACAAACCATAGCTACTTACACGGTACGTATCCATCGAATGGTAAATGCAGTATCCCATACCTCGTGGCTCCTTCAGTTGGCATGACAGCTAGGCACCGAAAGAATACTACGGTTGAATGATTTTTACGAAATAGTCACTTAGTTTTCACTGGCTTATTGAAGGGGGCATTTTCGGCACTACTGCGTTACCAGAAATTGATGACAGCTACACGCTCCAACTGACCTAGCCAGTTTTGGTTTCTGACCACATCTGACAATGGCGTGTCATCGTTTTCGTCTTCCTTATGCATAATAACTTCGGTTGACAAGCGGAGCAACTGTCAACCGTCTGGTATTAATTTGGCTTAGCCACAACTGAACTAAAGTCGAATAACACGGGCACCTTCCGTTAGACAGCGCAAAGCTCTGACAAGGTTTTGTCACAATTAGGTCCGTTTCTCACTACTCAGGCCTCGCCGCTCCTAAAAAGCCTCACCCTTAAATGATGACGAGCGTTTTCCAGACTTTCCATCCGATTTAGTTGCTAAATGGAGAAAATTACTGCCTGACATGCTGTTACCTCTAGTTCCTTTTAATCTGTTTCTTTGGCTATAATTTCACTTTGCGTTCACGAAAGAAATCCAGTGGAAGTCTTCTCTCCTATGCGATATTAACGTCCCTAAGAGCACAACCTTACCCGCTATAGTGACGCTATACAGACTGATACGTCGTAAGAATATGCCGGCGATTTTGCTCTGCCCGCCCTCCGAATCTACGTTCGCTCGACCGCTCACCGATGATATCTTTTCGGCTGGCGACGAGACTTTTGAAATATGATTTTCAAACTAGTCGAACAAAACGTCAGCCAGAAGTATAACAAGTCCCAGTGGTTTTCTCTGGCTGTGGAGACACCATTCATGTCTCTGTACTTAGGCTTTCCTGCTAAACTACAATCTTGCGAAGGCACATGGTTGTATTCATCTTATGCGACACTTTTGGGTCTGATATTCAATGACTTGCATTTGATTTGCACTGTCTCGTATTGGTCATATGCCTATTTTTGCTTGGCTGGATTACGTCAGCAAAGGGACAACTCGTTCTTTAGTTTCATTCTTCGTAGTCCCGCGCGTGCTTACCGACTGACCGAGATTAGTGTGGCGGTTATTCGCCGTTTCAATATGATGTCCATCCCACCTCATCTGCTGGCTTCGCATCGGTTAACCTTCAAAGCTCAAGTGAATAGTGTTTTCCAGGTCGAGCACAATCTTCAAAACAAAAACTAGCATGTGAGATCCTATCCTTGAATGCGCTCGCATAGGCGCAAATATATTTCGCTTTAGTTGGTGGCCGATCACAGCAGTATACCATACAAGACCGTACCGTACCTGAGGCAACTGGAATCTGTTCAGAATGTTCTCACCTGGTAGTTCATCTTTACACTCTTTACTAAGAGTGTACCATCGCGTTCCAAGTTGAACTCATTCGCCTACAGGTTATTGTGTTTTACTGTATCTGGACAGAAGACAAGTTCGTTACTTCATTCTCTTGTCACATAATTGTCTTAATAATATTGTTGCAGGGGTGCAGCCACGTGACCGAGTTTCTACAAAAAGAGCAAACGGAAACCATTAGTTCAAGATAAATCGGACTATTTTCGAGAGGGGTTCGAACGCAACCTCTGTACTTCAAATAATCCCATCTACGCTTAGGCACCCTAGCAGTGTCTCGTCCCTCGGGCTTCCTTCGGGTAGCTTGGCAGCCACGCTCCAGAAGGGTGTCACAACTGAACAACGGACATGTGGAGAGGAGTCACGGAATGAAAATCTGCAAGGACGAATGAAGGGCTCAAGGAAGAGGAGTTTGGTTAAGCTGCCTGACTCAAAAGTCACACACAAAACAGCGGGTGGATGTGGGACTTTGTTAGAACCGTTCCCTTACCATCTGACTCAAACGTCCGGACCGTAAAACAGCGTTTGTTAGGGTTTTCTTGAAGGATCCTTGTATGAGCTGGTGATTCATGCTTCCTTACTCGCTTGGCTGTCGGTCCGTGTGGTTTTTTGTCAGCCTTTAATCCGTCGTTCCACGAAGAGACTGAACCTTACCGTAGTGAGACGGTTTGCACACCTCAGTGCTTCATCGAGCTGTACTGGGAAGTGTCTCCGTGACACACAGAGTCTGTCACACCATGTTGGTCAGTGGTTAGAGTTCTGACGAACGCAGTCTCCTGGTCTTCCAGGTTGGGGGTTGGAACATGTGGCGAGTTGTTCCATAGAAATGGGAATGCATTTCCATTTCCCGCCAAACGCCGCTGCCTTGGGGTCAGGCTTTTGAGCCAAAGGCTTTGGTTGTGGACCCTAATCGTTCTCCTGTCTAGGTGTAGGCGCCCTGACAGTATCCCAGCCTACGCCCAACCATGAACCGCTACGGCAGTGAAACATCGGTGTTGAACACTGATGTCATGCTGTCGATGATGATGCTGATGAGAGCTGTAACGTGACCGGAAGTATCCATGGGACAAGTCCTTGAAGTAGTACTGATTCTGGAGTTTGCGTCGCCAGTTTAATATGGCACGCTACTGTTCTACAGCGAAACCTCTGGTCAATGTCAGAAGCGGCCGAATGAATACGCAGTTTGATGTCGTAATGAGGATTCAGAAACTGGAATACCGCACCCAACAGTCGGAAAGCACACCACGAGCTCGCCACTAGTGACTGCTATATGGCTGGTATTTCTGCCAATTTATTGGTTGAACTGGTGCACTAGACAGCCGGTCTGGCAGCCAGTCTGTCCCAGTACTATGACATGAACAACTTGACGCGCATGTATTCGCAACCAAATGTGAGGGTCCGATTCGATGCGGTAGCTCTCTTTGTAAACATTATAACAATCCGGTAATCGTCTCTTCTCAGTTTCGCCCGTAGTCTGTCTTCCCGTTCGGAACCAATTGATTTGTATATGACAAGTCCTGTGTTTTGTGGAAGGAGCACGATATGGTCTCAGTCATTATATCAAGTACTATTAAGAAAGAAAGAAAGCGTTCAGCTGTCGCACCCTTTCGGTGCCTAGCTGCCATGCCACCCGAAGGAAGCACGAGGGCTGGGATACTGCCAGGTTGCCCAAGTTAGGGAAAGTCGAGAGGCAGAGGTCGGATTCGAACCATAGACCTTCCGGTCAGTAAATTCGCGCTCTTACCACTTGGGCCATCTCTCCTCAGTAGTTGCCTGGTCCTTTAATCATAAGGTCTTCTGATCGATCCGTTCCTGAATGCTTTATGGCATTCGCAGGCGTTTGGGGTAAAGCTCTTACGTACCCTGCAAATATGTTGAAACTTAGACTTTTAGCGAGATACTATGTTGATTTGACCCCGGTCTTACAACGTATGCATGTTGCTCTTCTGTTCTGTGCATTATGTGGTCTATCGAGGGACCCTGCGCTCGTGTGTACACAGATCGGTGTAATCCATTTATTTTACTTTTGTTGAATTCAATTGTAATGCGTTGTTGCGTTACGCTGTCTTGTCGCTGCGCTCTTGGGTTTAAGCTAGGTTTGCTCTGACTGTTCTTGTCAAGTTGTCAATAGGCAATTTACGCAACTGGATGTATAACTTCCTGCAAAATGCCTGGTAACTTCAAGCAAAAATCATCAAATGAAGTTCGGGAACTGGGTAGCTAAGCACTGGAGATGATAGCTTTCACGCACGAGTGACACTGACTGTGCGACTGGGTCATTTCTGCCAGTGTCATTAGCCGTTGGTGAGTTGGGTCCAAGAGAAGCGGCAGCTGTCCATCCGATTCAGTTTACTGGTTAGGGTTCTCATACTTCGTTGCCAGATCATACACTGTCTACCGCTTGGTCGATTCCACTCACCGCAGGCTGCGCGAAACGAGCTNCCGAGTACTATATGCCGTATCTAGTAGTACTTCGTATCCGTAGTTTGGTGGCACCAATCTATTTGTACGCGGTTGTTCCCATGCCATCGGGTAGGCCGAGTAGAATACTGATAGCAATACCAGTTTATTAGCAATCATCAGACATGAAACTGAACATTATTGAGGTTTATTACAAAATTCAACATACTAGATTCCAGTTCGAAGCGTTCAATTTATTGCACTTTCATGCTGTTAGCATAACAGAGCTATGGATTGAGTATTTTCCTCAGTTTCTCTACTCAAGTTCCTTGCAACCCCAATGGTTGTGAGCACCAGTGCCTCTTAGGTAGAACCAGCATAACCGTCTGAGGATATTCTCAATAGGGCTCCGATATTTTCAACCATTCATCACTGTCAAGTACTTTTCACCACCGTTGGCCAAAGCTATGTACTCAACCCCTTGGTCGCTTTTAAAGTGTTTGAGATGCCAGACTTTGTGTTTGTGTTTCTTTCAATTGATTTGGTGTGGTCCCCTCATGTCTCGAGTGGTGTAATTTCCTCCCAATTTCAGTCCAGACTAAGTCCGCCCAAGTTGCCTTCACGTGTAACGTTTGGTTCAAATTTATTGCACTCGCCCTAGTGTATTTATTGATTAAGCTCCCACACCCGTCCTCGTGTTACCACTATGAAATCCCAATATTAGTCGGACGCTCACTGCACAGTATATTGGTCTCCTGACATCACGGAAACGGCATACGTTCAAAGTTGTTGAACAGATATCCTTATGCTGTAAAAATTGGGGTCTTAATTCTGCGTTTCATCAATTTGATAAGTGTCAGCAAGTATTTCAATGGTAACTCACCGGAATTACAGTTGTATTCCTTTCCATGCTGTTGCTGTGGTTTGACATATTTCTTCACGTCTAAGAGATTGACGGTCCTTGTTTTCTCATCCCTTGAATCCAGGTTATATATTGTCATCTATTCTTATTTACTTTCCAGCTTTCTCTCCAGCCAATTTCCATTCTTAGCTCCGGTGCAGATGAGGAAAAAGCAGAAACTGCTCGTCTTGTAAGTATTGCCTGTTTATTTTATGATTCGCATTTAGTCTTCGTTTGTTGGAGCCATTGCCGTTGGGGATCTTATCAAATCTACCTTGGGTCCAAAAGGCATGGATAAAATACTACTGTCTTCCGGTGATAGCGTTGTCGTCACCAACGATGGCGCAACTATACTTAAGTCGATTGGGGTAGACAATCCTGCTGCCAAGATTCTTGTTGGTGGGTATTTGCTAATCTCGTTTGTCAACTTCACGTCCTATAGAGATGAGCAAAGTACAAGATGACGAAGTTGGTGATGGTACTACGTCTGTCGTCGTCCTTGCTACCGAATTGCTCCGGGTAAGTGTATGCTTCCGTCGCATATTACATTTCATCCTGACTCTCCTCAACAACCTTCTTCCTAAACGTGCACCAGTTGTTGCACTGTGTAGTGGTACTAGGTCAAAGTCTGACCGTTTCCCTGGAAACGGTCATTTAGTGTTCTACAGATATTCTCAGGTCAACTGTGCTTCAATTGCAACTCCTTTGAAGTCGAAGTGAGAACAGCTCCTAGTTCGTCGTCACTACGGACAGCATTCCGAAATGATACCATTCATGTTGGCCACCTCCTAAGGTTCGTGTACTGATAATTCACACTAAAGCTAAAACATCGGCTTTCATGTGTCGTACAAACCTTTCTAGTTATGGAAAGATACGAACTTCCTGCGAAAAGCTTTTATTTTTGATGAAAATGAACTCAAGGTGGCTCATTGGTTAAAGCGCAAACCTACTGGCCGGGAGATCCATAGTTCGAATCCTACCTTTGCATCTCGGCTGTCCCTGTCTAGGCTTGGGCAGCCTGGCAGTATCTCCGAAGCAGTCGCCCACCACTTCATAATGAACCTTTTCCATTCTTCAATATATTTGCCGCTCGACTGGATATTAGATCCCTCCTCTAGAAGAACCAGCTCCACATAATGACCAACAGATGTCAGATTTTACAAACTTGTGGTAGAAAGAGGTGCGCGGTCATCGCAACAACCGCTAATCTGTGACCATTCAGTAGGCATTGCCGTGTGAGACTGCCTCTGAGTTAGCCCTGCAGATCATATTCAATATCCATCCCTAAGTAATTAATCACTGTTAATTATTCCGCCTTGAAGATCCTTCATACTGGCTTAGTGGTTTATCTTCAAGCTCTCGAAGAGATGTGTTCCACTCGTTTTCACTGTTCACCCGCGTGCTTATTACAAATTCTCGTTGGAGTCATGGTGGTGCAAATGTGGTGCGTCTTGTCACACAGGACGTCGCAGGAACACTCGACCTGCTGAGTGAGTATGAGATGTATAATGGATCGATTTCGCCTTACGTTCAGCTGAACAGAGCAGGTGCTTTTAATGGCTAGCTTCACTTGCCCATGCTCGTTCTTCACAAACTTACTGCGTCCACAAAGTGGCGATGCTGGTGGTTCAACTGAATGAAAATCCAGACAACAATCTGCTGACCCCTCACATTTTCGCATGAAACTCGTTGTCGTTTTCTGTGTTCGTAAAGACCAGACATTGTTTCTTTCTATCTGCAAACCGCTTTCCCTCCACTTCAGGAAGGCGAACAGTTGATTGCTGCCAAGCTCCACCCGCAGACTATCATCCAGGGTTGGCGGGAAGCGGCGCAGTTGGCAATCGAGGCTCTCGACTCTGTCGCTGTTGCACACTGCAAGGAAGCTGTTGCGACTCATAGTGACGCAGACTTCCGTCAGAAGCTTTTGAATATAGCCCGCACAACGCTCAGTTCAAAACTCTTGACTCAGCACAAGGAACATTTTGCCAAGTTGGCTGTCGATGCCGTCCTTCGTTTGAAAGGTAGCGGTAATTTGGACGCAATCCAAGTGAGTTACTTTCCGCTAGCGATGGTGAATTCCTATTATGAATGAGTCCTATTTTCGCACATTCTTTCCTTTTCAGATCATACAGAAACTAGGAGGAACCATGGGCGATTCATATCTTGATGAGGGATTCCTTCTAGACAAACGCCCTGGAGTAAACCAGCCGAAACGTGTGGAAAATGCCCGAATATTGATTGCCAACACTCCGATGGATGCAGACAAGATTAAGGTGTTTGGCAGTAAAATCCAGGTGGATACCATCTCCAAAGTCGCCGAGTTAGAAGTTGCTGAGAAACAAAAGATGAAAGAGAAGGTGGATAAGATTTTGAAACACAACTGTAATGTTTTCATCAACCGGTAAGCTTTACTTGACTCCACTCTTGCTGATATCCGATTGACCCTCGTGGACAGTTTTCCGGTAACTGTATGATGTTCGAATGAAGTGCCCAGCTCTATGTTTGCTTACCAGATAATCTCGAGATAGCTCATTGATTAAGATGCAAACTTACCAACCGGATGGTCTGTAGTTCGAATGTTCGACAACCGTTGTCTCAGAACCAAAGTTGTGTAGGTTAGCGCCGGCAGGTCCGAAACGAGACAGTTAGAAAGTGAATGAAAACCGTTGCTCAGAACCAAAGTTGTGTAGGTTAGCGCCGGCAGGTCCGAAACGAGACAGAAAGTGAGTGCTTGGTTGTACAACCGAAGCTTCAGTGGAAGGGTTTTACCGACGCATGCCGAATCATCGTTTGCCCGATTCAGAATGGGTGCAAGCAGAGAAGTGGTCAACGTTTGGTCTGGTAGAGGAGTATGAGAGCGATTACGAACAGTCTGGATACTGTTGGTGCGGATCGTCTTCCAGGATGCAGTTTGCTCGACCCTCCCTGTGCATGGTTCGAGACGCTGCAAGATATGGCTACTACTCAATCTGAATGGCGTAGTTGTAATCATTTTTTATCTAGATTGTCTGATTGAGCCTCTGGGAATGTAGGCACCTTGGATTAATTGTGGTAGGCTAGCACTAGTCCTCTTTCCCATCCTCTTTCATTCTTTCCCCCGCAGTAAAAGCCTTCGAGTGACATGATTGTATGGCAGCGGAGCATCAGCGTTGAATATAGTGTGCTGTCGATGATGATATTACGCCGTTGTCTGAGGTTCCTCGTTTGGAAGTTGTGTGCGGGCAGGGTGGAGCAAGCGCTCGAGGAATGCGAGTGCCCAAGTCAAAAATACTTCTGGACACAAGTTTACTTATGTCATCTGATTCCAAATCTGTCACTGGCCGTCTCAACTAGTTGTTTGTCTTATCTTGCCACTTCTTACGGGTTCCTGCTGCCATCATTTTCATAGACGATGAATATACATGACACTTGCCAACTACTCAGTCGGTATCGACTGTTATTCTCCGGAAGCCGGGATATTCCCCTGATCGTTTCCTATGGACACTTTATATCGCCCCTTGGGTCTGGTAGACGTGTTGCGTGAACCATCTGGGTACCAAAATATGCATTCCGTAGTTGCTGGCTATTTACTTTCTGTACGTCATACAATACGATTGGTAGTAACACCTCAACCTCTCATGCTTTGTCAAGAGTTCTGTCAACTGCCAGGCAATTGTGCAAACTGCCTGCGCACTCCAATGGTAGTTTGCCGTATCCTGTGAACAAAAGTCCAGGGAAATAGTTGAAGTTGTCAACCCCAGTGTGATATTTATAGGGTTTCCACCATTCGGAGGCACACATTTTACTTTCAAATCCGTAAAGACGGAAGGTTTCCTGCAAAATAAACGGCAGCTGATTGTGAGGTCAAGTCCTTTTCCCTATTTTCATTGTATCGTCCAGTTGGAATTGCGTAGGTGTATGCTAACCATATTTCGAAGCTTCATCCAACGTTTTTAACCCCTGCTGCTCTAGGCAACTCATCTACAACTATCCGGAACAGTTGTTCACTGACGCTGGTGTTATGGCAATCGAACACGCTGATTTCGAGGGTGTCGAGCGTCTGGCACTGGTCACCGGTGGTGAGATCGTGTCCACCTTCGATTCCCCGGAGAACACCAAATTGGGACATTGTAAGCTTATCGAAGAGGTGAGTTTACCGAGACATTTGGCTGATCCTTGTGCTTGTTTTGTTATTGTTACGCCCATTGTGTACGTCTCCGTGCTTGCCGTTCTTTAACAAGATACTTTTCTTAGTCTATTTGCGAACTTTGCCCTCCGTATCGCGATTCTGCGCATCTGTCCACTTAGGTGATACATTCCTTAGTGTCGTTAGTTTCGATTTTAAAAGAATTTATCATTTTGTCAAGTGAAACCACACAGCACTTATCTGCTGTTGGATTACTTTTACTGTGACGACTCCGCCTAGACCAACCAAAAACGCCCATTCCTTGAAAACACTTGCTTTCACGCGATGAGTCTTGGATTGTCTACGGAGTCGGGGTTTTATGATCTTATTTTCTTTCAAGCCCCAACACGTTCCTAATCCGGATAACTCATTATTTGAAGTTGGAGATGAGTTTTTCAGTCATTCAGCTGTGGCATTCTTTCGCTGCCTACCTGCCATGTGACCACAAGGAAGCACGAAGGCTGGGATACTGTCAGGTTGCCTAAGCCTAGGCAGGGGAAGTCGAGTGGCAGAGGTCGGATTCGAACCACGGACCTTCCGGCCAGTAGAGTCGTGCTCTAACCACTGAGCCATCTCGCCCTCAGTTTCTTAGTCAGCGGTTGTCTGAGCCTATCCCAATTAACTGCGAAAAATCTGCAATGATACCTGCTTTCAAAAAAAGACTGCAGTAGTCACAAGGGATCAGCTTGACTCCCATCCTTTGCACTGTTCTCACTCGTAAAACAGAGCAGCAGGTGTGCTTCTGGCCCGGTAGAAGTTACGTTGACAATATGAACGCACCGTCAGGTGCTAGAACACCAGCATACGTATAGCTACCTACAATTTCAGTATTCCTGGATTTCCAGGGTGAATTTACCCAGTGAAGAGAAAAAGAAGGTACAGATGGTCGTTTCAGAAGGGCTTGGTAAACAACCTGAAACGATGACTTCTCAGTCGGTTCCAAACTTTTTCCAATTGATCGAAAGGTACAGATAAATTTACTAAGGTCACGAAACTTTATTTTTTTACCTTAGCAAATAAGACAAAACATTCAGGGGACAAACAAGCAAAAAAATAACGTACGATTTCCCTCGGTAAGTTGTGATTTCTCTAGTAGATGCTCTACAAGACTTGCGGGTAAGGTGATGCACCCGTTAGGAAAACGGTTGAAAAAGAAAAGAACACCAACTCACGGTTGACAGACAACCCATTCGAAGTGACGAACATTGCATTCACTAAGAGTACAGATTTCAATAAAGTCGAGACGGATACCGCCTTTTTGGTTGATGTCCAGTGGGGGTTAAGTTCAGACCTATCATTGTCACTGGGAGAGCGACGACGTCATCATGATTGTACTGTTTGTTATTTCGGCTAAGTGGTAACTTCAACCCCAGATAATGAAAGTTGGCTGGACGACCCGAGCGTGCCCAAATGGATAACAGTTTTTTAGGCGAATGAATGTATTTGTAAACCCAATCTTGAAATTTACACAGTTGCAACACGATAATTAAGAACTGGAGGGTATCCAAGTCGCTCGTTCCCGAAATTGGCGTCTAGATTGAAAACAAGACCGAAGAAGGAGGACAGCACTCATGAGAAATGAAGGGTGAGTGCCAGAGCAGCGAGTGTCCATCGTATTTAGTGCTATCGGACAACTCGGACCAGATATCTGAGGTGGTAAACCATGTCAGCTGCCATAAACTGGGCCGCCTCCCCTTATGATGGCGTTAGCCACTTACCGTCTGCGTTGAGGACTGAAGCGTATTGGTACTCACGATCCATAGAGTACCATAGATGGACGCTGACACGGTAGTGTGGCTTCCATCATCATTATTGCGGCAACCAAGCCTTGGAAGCACCCGTTCGTCAGCAGTACGGAGACGTAGGTAGGTTGTCATTAAATTTGCCCTCGAATTCGATGCTTGTATAGACTTCTCCAAAATATTTTAAGGTTTTTCAAACATGAACTGGCCATCGCGTCTATCTTACCACATATCTTGAACGGGGATGTCAGCTGTCAGGACAGAATTTCCCTGTTTGGCTCTATTCAGCTGAGATGTAAGCTATTTATTTTGTCTTGTGTCCATTATTTGTGCCTTGATTTTTCTGTCAGTGATAGTATCTTCTGCACTACCCCATCACAGATCACTATTGGTGAAGATAAACTGCTACGCTTCAGTGGCGTTGCATTGGGTGAAGCCTGCACTATTGTGCTTCGTGGAGCCACGAAAAGCATTTTGGAAGAAGCTGAACGCTCTCTGCACGATGCGCTTTGTGTGCTTGCGTTGACCGTGCAAGACCCACGCACTGTCTGTGGTGGTGGCGCGATGGAGATGTGGATGGCTGAAGCGGTCACACAGGGTGCCGCTAAAACTCCCGGCAAAGTTTCGCTGGCCATGGAGGCTTTCGGTCGAGCGTTGAGACGGCTACCACTCACGATTGCTGACAACGGTGGTTTCGATAGTGCCGATTTGGTGTCGCAGTTGAGAGCCTGTCATGCAAATGGACGGTCCAGTATGGGACTAGGTGAGTTCTGTGTACTCGAAACTGAGTAAACATCCAAAACGCCTATACACTCGGAATGGGAAAAAATGTAACTGCGTTACGCTAAACTCGTCACTTTGTATGGTTTCTACCCTTGATGAATAAGTTGGACATGGGACACCAGTCAGTTAACCGAATCCGTATCACGTCACTCATGCCATGGCATGAGTAAAGCAAGAGGTGCACGGACAGCGGACGTTTATTGAAAACCGCTTGTGTACTGCTACAAGTTTGTATGGAGTGTTTGCTTATCATCAATGTTGTTCTCATGCACTGTTGGAAAAGTAGGGAAGTATTCAAGCGCAGCGCATAGATTCGTCAACGTATAAATCGTCCCCCATGACTAACCATCGCCATAGCCTTGATGCATCTAGTGACGTGTCATGTTGAAAAATCTAATATATTTCTGTTGTATTTGTCTCTTTGGAGCCGTCCTTTGTCCCACACTGCCGCGTCGATTCAGCTAGGCAGGTTATTTAACGTGTAGTTAAAGCTATGAGGTATGGGTTATGCGCGGTAGCCACAGGGCTTTCTAGGATCGTTATTTCGTTCGCATTGGTTGATCTTCCATGTACTTGGGAATTCGTCACATTAAGCATGGTTTAGGGAGCTTTTCCCAGAATCTAACTTTGGGTTGTTGATCTAGAAATCTTATCCTCTCATCCTTGACTGAAGCGTCACCTATATATGCATCACGTATCTTCTTTTCTCCTAGAAACTTGCTTCTTGTTTCCTTTATGTTGACATTTATCACTGCTTCATCCCACAGCCGTGTGGTCTACACGAAACTCGTTATATTTAATCCCATTGCCCTCATCGACAGCATAACATCAGTGCTCGAACACTGATGCCGGGGAAGTCATTGATGGTTTTGGCTAGCCTTTTTATACGGAACTTTCGTACTTCAGTGGGACTGAGTTCCTATGTCATGTCCATCAAACCTCAGTGGAACCAACTATTTGCCATTGTATTTTGTGATGTTAAAATTTCTGTTGGTGGTTTGTTCTTTGTTGCCCCGTTCAGATATGGAAAGAGGAGTAATCGCGGACATGAATGCTCTTGGGATTTTGGAATCCTACCGTGTGAAACATCAACTGGTTGTGGCTGCTGCCGAAGCGGCTGAACTGATCATGCGGGTGGATGACATTATTACAGCTGCACCTCGCCGCCGTGCTCCACCACGATACGGTCACTGTTAGGTCCATGAAATTACCGAAGTTGTGCAGTTTCTATGTGGATGCGCAATATAAACCCGTTGAATCTACTCTTTTTTCCGCGCATATTTTGGGGTGATCTCGGGAGATGAGTGAGGTGTTTTCGAATAATTAGTGTGGTTGTCCATTTTGTCAAGCTGTTAACTCAATAATAGGTTCTTCAGGTGGCATTCCCACGTAACTGACATGCTAATTAATTTGTTGATTGCGACGCATGCGTTCATTTTATCCCTAATTGTCAATGGTATCTTTTAAAGACCCTTGACAATTCAGTCCGTGTAACAACTTCCCCACATTCAGTGTTACTAGGTTTCGAATTTTCAATCCCAGGGAGATCATTTTTCCATTTTTTCCTAGCTCGAGATCGCTCCGACTTACGGGTAGGAGGGTTTGTGGTTTGAACCCAACCTCTGCATCTCGGTTTCGCCCTTGTAGGCTTGGGTGACCTGGCGTTATCTCAGCCCTCGTGCTTCCTTCGGGTTGCACGGCAGCTAGGCACCCAAAGGGTGTCACAACCTAACGATACAATTCTTCCCCGCATGACTGAAATCACTAACTGTTGACCACTTGTAATGCATTCGCAATATGATGTCAGCTCTCTCATCCACATTTTCGGTTATGCGACTCATCTCATTCGCTATGTTTCGATTACAACGCAGTGGTAGTGATCATAGCAAGAGTAGATCGGTTATACCCGTAGTTGTACTTGTCGATGACACTTGTTATTGAGTTTATTCCCATCTACAATGGTCAATATGTGGAACGATGAGTATAAATTACGTATGCGCATCACCATTATTTTGACAATCTCATTGTCCCGGTGCGGTCGTCCGGTCATTTCACAACTGATCAGCCAGTTATCTAGTAAATCTAAGCCGTCCGCGACGCCAACTTCCATCCCGGTCAGTCGATCGACAAAGCACAGCCATCGGCTTGACTCGATATGTCGAGAAGGTCCTTCAATTTAGTCAATGTGCGACAAGGTCAGATCATCCAGACGCGCAAAACGTGCACAGGTGTAGAAGTGGTGCAACTGTTGGTCAACCCTGTGGGCACTATTCGTGTGCACCGTTCTCTCAGCTAGCCGACAGGTGAGTTGCAAGTTGTAGGGCTTTTTGAGTGTCCTTTTGGTGATGTCACTCAGACAACGGTCGGTGGCACGCACGGGAACAGAGACAGACAAATGAAGGTATTCGGCTGCAGTAGTTTCTGAAGCGTCGGTTCCAGCTTACTCATGGCACGAAGAGTGTTTGCTTCCAAGTGAGCGGCACAATCACACAGCCCTCAATGGCACTTTATACAACGCTATCCAATTCCTCTTTACTCTCATATCCCAGGCCAACCTTGCGATCACTTTGGCTCAATAGCGTCAGATGCTACTTCTATTCTCATCGAAAAAAAGCATGCGGGGAGGTGCAAACAACTGGCTTCATGACCACAGGCTTTGAAACCAGTGCGACCTAGTTTTGCAGCTCCGAAGGCAATGAACTAAAAAGCCGTAAAGAATGTATATGTGGGTATCAGCATCAAGGTTTGTGGATGATTTTTAGAAATGAGGATATGCCGCTCGCACGGAAACTATAAGAAGCTAGCTGTATACAATGAAACGGTTGGAAGTTTGAACGAATGGACCCAACTGGGTTTGTTTTAGGAGCTTTTCTTGTACACAATCCAGAGGGCACACCGGGTTTTCGCGTGGAATCGCAGTCGATATTTGTCGGGAGCGCGTGTAGGCTATGGAAAAAGCTATTTGCAATGTGGCCAAAGTTTACGGTAAATTGGACACAACCATGATGATATAAGCAGACCAGGGTCCGACTCATGGAGATAGTGAAGTACTGTGCGGAAACTCACAAAGGCGGATGTCCGGGCATATTAAAGTAGCAAGAAGACTCAAACATGGATGATATAGAGGTGCACCACTAAGCAAGCCAAAATACGTGGATTGTACACAGGGCTTTTGGAGTTCGGTGAAATAACGGTAAAAAGGAGATCAAAAACCAAATGTAGTGTGTCGTATTTGGAGTGAATGAAACGATACATCCCGAAAGATTTTGAGACGTATTCTGGACGCTACCTTGGCAGCCAGCAACCTGCAGATAGGAATTCGCTCCGGAGTTGTCTATTAGAAAATGTCGACTGAACAGTTACAGACTATTGGACAAGGAATCAGAATTCTCATATGCATCTTGTTTACAAAAACTGAATATCCATCTTCTCCTTGAACGCGTCTTCCTGAACTTTCCTGGGTACTCATTGACTGTTGCCCAAATCCAAGGAAATGCTACAAAGCGACTCCATAAATTCGGTAACAGAGCTCACTTTTCAAGAGACGCAAAGCGGATTTACGAGGAGACATGCTACTCGCACGCATCTCCCGTCAGTAGTATCACCGTTACACACCTGCCCCCTTTAAAGGTTCTTCGCATGCCGCCGATTTTCATTTGCCTCCGTCAGGTGGGATTCGGCAGCGGGTCTACTCGGCCGTTCTTCTGGTGTGTCATGCCACTTGCGAAGCTGCGTCCCATTTACTGTTTTCTATCCCCGACCATCTTGAATTGTGTAGACGTTCCTCCGGCGGCCCTTGCTATTGACTGCCTAGCATCCGCGATCCCAGTCCACTCCTCCCAAGATTCTGGTGGTCCTTCCACTTGACCTTCGCGCCTATGGGGAATGTCCGTGCCTTTCTACTTGCCGTTTTCTGCCTAGTCCCTTCCTGAACGGTGGTCAAGTTTTCTCGAGCTTTCCTTTCTTCCTGAAGCTCCTCCGGAGACAAGCGTGTTGCCGGTCACAACCCAATTTCCTGGTCTACCGGGAGGCGTGGATGTCGACCGTACATCAGCACAAGTGGGGAATTGCCTGTGGTTGGCTTTATGGAAGCATGATGAGCTAGTAACACCATTGGCAAGTTCACTTCCCAGTCACCTCTTTGGCTGCCAGCCACTCCTTGATCGTCGGGCTATTAAGTTTGGTTAGACCATTTGTTTGCTGGTGGTATGGTGCCATCCATAGCCAACTGATACGCTCCCGAAAGATTTTGAGACGTATTCTGGACGCTACCTTGGCAGCCAGCAACCTGCAGATAGGAATTCGCTCCGGAGTTGTCTATTAGAAAATGTCGACTGAACAGTTACAGACTATTGGACAAGGAATCAGAATTCTCATATGCATCTTGTTTACAAAAACTGAATATCCATCTTCTCCTTGAACGCGTCTTCCTGAACTTTCCTGGGTACTCATTGACTGTTGCCCAAATCCAAGGAAATGCTACAAAGCGACTCCATAAATTCGGTAACAGAGCTCACTTTTCAAGAGACGCAAAGCGGATTTACGAGGAGACATGCTACTCGCACGCATCTCCCGTCAGTAGTATCACCGTTACACACCTGCCCCCTTTAAAGGTTCTTCGCATGCCGCCGATTTTCATTTGCCTCCGTCAGGTGGGATTCGGCAGCGGGTCTACTCGGCCGTTCTTCTGGTGTGTCATGCCACTTGCGAAGCTGCGTCCCATTTACTGTTTTCTATCCCCGACCATCTTGAATTGTGTAGACGTTCCTCCGGCGGCCCTTGCTATTGACTGCCTAGCATCCGCGATCCCAGTCCACTCCTCCCAAGATTCTGGTGGTCCTTCCACTTGACCTTCGCGCCTATGGGGAATGTCCGTGCCTTTCTACTTGCCGTTTTCTGCCTAGTCCCTTCCTGAACGGTGGTCAAGTTTTCTCGAGCTTTCCTTTCTTCCTGAAGCTCCTCCGGAGACAAGCGTGTTGCCGGTCACAACCCAATTTCCTGGTCTACCGGGAGGCGTGGATGTCGACCGTACATCAGCACAAGTGGGGAATTGCCTGTGGTTGGCTTTATGGAAGCATGATGAGCTAGTAACACCATTGGCAAGTTCACTTCCCAGTCACCTCTCTGGCTGCCAGTCACTCCTTGATCGTCGGGCTATTAAGTTTGGTTAGACCATTTGTTTGCTGGTGGTATGGTGCCATCCATAGCCAACTGATACGCAGCTTCTGCAAGGAATTCCTAAACTCTTCGCTCTCGAAGCAACGCCCCTGATCGGTTAGGATCATTTTTGGCACCCGATGGTTGGCCACAATGTGATGCATTACCACTTCGCTGATCGTCGCCGCCCGCTGATTATACAAGGTTGCCACCTCGATCCATCGCGACAGGTATTCTGTCATTATCACGATGTATTGATTCCCGCTGGCTGCCACTGGAAAGGAATCCATGACGTCAACGAACCACAACTCGCCGTTTTCTGAGACAGAAATAGGTTTCCTGGGGTGGGTTGCCCCCTTCGCGTCCCCTTTCATGCGTTGGCACCGCTTGCGGAACACCACGTAATCCACTACCTCACTTCTCATCCCGGGCCAACAGATACTCTGCCGAAGTCGTACGTCTTGGTGCACCCTGTACGTGCCATCTCATGGCATTCGACGATGAGCTTCCGTCTCAAGACGCGAGGTATCACGGGAAGCACAACATTCGAATCAGTGGCGTCCCAGGAAATCTTGCCAGCTTCATTCAGCCTCAGTCCATCAAAGTGACTCTGGAGCATTTCCGATCCCTTGTCTCCCTCTCCGTTCTCAGAGATACTCCTGCTCCTGTATCGATCAAGCACAATTCCCTCTTCCAGTCTATCTCAACGGCCTGCGTGGAAGCTTGTGTCACTGCGCTAAGTGCAACCCACCTGGGAAAAGAAGTACAGGTGTTGGTATACGGGGGCATTAATCTTTCCAACGGCCAGGCCTACCACACTTGTAGTGCCGGCTCGTTCGAGCGCACCTCCGCGATTCCGTCTTCATGGCTACAAGCTGTTCCGCAAGTTGGTCCACCCTGGTCAGCAGTTCGTCCAATGTCAAACCATCTATGGTCTCCTGCGGCTGCAACACGGCCCGTGGCGCCCTAGCCAGGGCCCGTGGAAGCTGTACTAGCTCCTCCACACCCAAATGACCAGTCACTCTCGCCAACCGCACCTGGGCACCAAGCGCGGGCTGCACTCCTCCAATGAACTGGTCCGACAACAACTGGTGGCGCGACACTCCATCCAGCCCTAACAAAGCGCGATCCACGACCGCCGGTAAAGAGCATGGTCGTGTCAGATCCACGTGCCATCCTGGCCGTCTTGAACCGCCTCATAGTCTCCAGGCGGTTGACCGGCGTGTCGAACTCCGCTGCAAGGACTTCCCTTATGATGGCCCAGTTCATCTTCCGAGGGCCCCTTCTGTCCGCATTCAAGGCCACCTTCACCTGGCACCAGTGGAGGAGCCTCAGCGCCACCAACTTACCCCGGTTGGTATCCAGTCCAGCAGCCTCCGCAACATCCCCAAAGTCCCCCAGGAAGGTCCGAACATCCCCATCCTCAGAGAGTTGTGGCCGCGGGTTCTTCGTCCTTATCACGGCACCAAACGAAAGGAAGAAGGCGTTCGCTGCGGATTTTTTTATTACAGTTACAGACTATTGAACAAAGAAGCAGAATTCTCATATGCATCTTGTTTGCAAAAACTGAGTATCCATCTTCTTGAACGCGTCTCCCTGAACTTTCCTGGATATGCATTGACTGTTACTCGAATGTAAGCAAATGGATATGCATGACTGTTACTCGAATGTAAGCAAATGCGACTTCACAAATTCGGTAACGGATCTCACTTTTCGAGAAACGCGAATCGGATTTACGAGAAAACATAATACTCGCATACCCTCTCATCAGTAGTATCACCCTTACACCGTTATGCGGCTGGGTTTTTGTTCATATTTTCGACCATTAGGAGGTCGTCTGGATGCCAAGCATGTAAGTGGCCCTGTCTTCCGACCAGCCACGTGAGAGTTAGGTCCTTAGGTGGTTTCAGCGTTTAGTCGCTAGCCATAAGACGGCTCTGTTTTGGGATTTCTCCCAGTACCCCCTCGGCATTATCGGAGGTTCATCAGCAGTGACCTCAATTATTTTCGGATCTGACCGGCATCACGGTCATATTACATGCTCGGTCCATGCCTTCAGCGGGGTAGTTGATGGAGTTTTCATGGTGAATCTGTTGATGATCTAATGTAACACAAAAATCAATCGAATAAATAGAAAAGGACAGGCAATGAAACTGTTATTGTTAATTGAAGTGATTGATAATGATAATGTATATTCCCAGCTTGTGGGTGGTATACCTTCTGGCATGGTCATGCGTTTACAATCAGGCTGGGGTATGACAGGGGGATTTGCGGGTGGTTGGGATTGCAATATACAGAAAGATGAGAGAGATCGCATAGTGGGTACAAATTGATAGTTCCTGTTTTTCTTCAGGTGGCAGGTGTGTTTCTTTCGCTGTCGTAGCGGCTATCGTCTATGAACTGCTTTCCGTAATTCCTGTGCGGCTTGACATTGGGGTAGATGACGTGTGTGGTGTGGTGTTGTGTTTGGCCTGTGTTCTGTTTTGCTACGTGTAGGTATGATTGTGGTGTGTCTCTGTCCGCGCTTGGCTTTTTCCAGGTCGCATCAGTGCTTACAGACTCAAGGTCATGTGAGTTACGATTGTGTAGCGCGATTTACGTGTTTGGAGAAAAAAACGAGTCGCGTGACGCCGCAGGCTACTGACACACCCAAATTGAGTTCGCCGAAATTATAGGGTTTTCGAAGTTGCTATTTTAATGGGAAGTTAGTTGAAAATAGGTGTACACAAGGTAGCCACATTGACTGGTTAAATATGCACGTGCAGGTTCCGGTCGATGTGTTAACTGTCTGAGAACATTTGGGGGTTTGTACCACAAACTGACTGTTACTAACAACGAGCTTCTCACTTTGAAGCGATCTGTCTGCTTGTATATCAGATTTGGCGTGCATATTCCAATGTGCCTGAGAACCTGATTAGCGGCGTATGTCCTCATCCGGGAAACCACACGTTGAACGTAGATGTCTCCCTCCCAAATTTTTCGACGGTCACAATAATAAGTGGTGTGCATTTCATATTCGCGCATTAGCCATTCGCTGCGATGAGCGACCTTCTGGACAGTATGCTCCAGGCTAGCTGAGTGATTCACGCGCCTCTTCAAACGCCCATTGGCGTTCTCCAGGCGGTTGTTGGTCGCATCCCCAAAATGTACCAACCCACGTTGTGCATGAATAGCCCACTTTCGAGTGATGTGGAGCCAGTGGGCAGTCAAATAAGAGAGAAAACTGGGATCTGTTCGCCTCAAGATCTGCAAATCGCGGCAAAATCTACGCGATTAGTATTTGGTGCACAGTCACTTACTCAGCTGCATTATCAAAGCGAGCCATGCAGTGGAATATATGCCGACTGCGGTTGGAAATTGTCTGCAAAAGTTACACCAAAGCAATGAAACATACATGCTCCAGGATAGCTTCCCGTGTGTGAAAATAGCACAGCATTTTGTCGAAGTCAAATACAGCCTTGGCAGCCCGCATCTGCGAAGTCATTTTGTCCATGACGAACGTTTTGACTGCATATTGTCCACCCATCATATCCTTGAACAAGCTGAACAGCTTGCGCAGTGGCGCGAAATGCTCGCTTTCGACAAAGGCATACATTACGGGTCGACCGATCCCCATGTCATCTGTCACAAGGAATGTATAAAGCTTGTAACTTAACAGCGAACGTCAGGGGCTCGAAATTTATTTACCCAAGACGGTTAGTACCGTGTGTAGCATCAACGTTTACAACGTCCGGAAAACGTCTAAATAGTGCTATCTGCTGAGTTCGAGAAAAGCACAGGTGACTTTATATGCCACCCTCCGATTCCACCGGCAGCAGGCGACCGCATTCTCGAAACTTGCCCACGATGGATGACATGTCACTTAAGAAACCGACTAAAAGTTAACGACCTACTTAACAATGGGGTCGACATTTGACGCGCTAGTTACGCACATCCTTGATAGCGAGTACCTTTCCAAAGTGGTCGGCGACGTACTGCCGAATCTCCGACGACGGAGCACCGTATTTCAAAAGGGTAGAACACTCCTTTAATTCATCATTTGTCAGTCGCCGGTCGATGGGGAGCCTGTCAAAAATAAACTTGCTGCGTAGATGGCTGTGCTCCAGGTAGTGGGAAGTAACCCTCAAGCAGTCATGGTACCGGCGAACGTGGAACCTTGCCGGACAATCAGTACGACGTGTTCTAAAACGTACACACAACTTACTAGGTGCGACGAATTCCACTGCTTCTGCTTCGTCTGTGGGGATGTCTGCTGCAACGGCGGAAGGCTTTTTCATACAAAAGTAGTGAATTGCTCTTCTTTTTGGAGTTTATACGGACGAAAACAACGAAATGTTTCGTCTGGTACTCTTTCAAAGCGACTGGAAATGCATTGAATGAGAAAAACTTTGACGAGCTAAATTCTCCACATTATCACCCCCCGCATTTACGTGCTCATCGACAACAGCCATTTAAAATATGAATATCGCGGGCCTTGAATATCGTGGGGGTTGAGTAGATTTAAACAACTTTCAACAAAACTGCGGCCGTTTGGGAAGATCTCATACGCCCGAAAAATTACCATCAAATGTTATAACTTTATGTTAAAGTTTTCTTCTTTCAAACCACGGTTTTAGAGAAATTTGGGGTTTGCTTCTAGCCCACGGCTCGCGTGACCTAGTAAGTAGTAAGCGCTTGAGATGCCTAGTCAAATTTGTCGGTGGAGATATACCTATAGACCCGGGATTACGTGCGCACAGTGTCGCCTCTAGACCCGAGTCAGTTGGCTCGGTGGACAGGGCCTGTTAATTTTTCGGCCATATATTTTGTGTGCGCGTTGTACCCACCCCGGTGGGTGAACTTTGGTCTCGTGTAAAAATTTACAGCTCTCGGGTGGGATGTACCCTGATGTCCTTTTATGACTTTTGCCGCTGTGTTCGACATGCAACATTTGGGCCTTTTCTTGGTCAGTGCGCGTTGTAGGTGAGCTGGTACTCTATCCGCGCCTTGCGATTACTTGGTCGGATATCTTTGG